CTTCCTCATGATCTGTAAGAAGGGAAGGGACTTCTCCGCTGATTTGGATAGGAAGCAATTGAGGGCTGTCAGGCGGCCTGTCAGCCTTTGGACTTCCTCCACGTTACGTGGGAGCTCCATGTTGATAATGTCCTGGATTTTTTCGGGGTTGGCCTCGATACCCCTTTGGCTCACCATGTAGCCCAAGAACTTGCCTCCTTGCACGCCGAAGATGCATTTCTTCGGGTTCAGTCGAAGGTTGAATTTTTGCATGTGGCAAACATCTCCCGGAGGTCGTCAGCATGGCATGTCGATTGTTTGCTCTTGACGATCATGTCATCTACATAGTCCTCCATAGTGCGCCCCAGGACGGCTTGAAAGACTCTGGCTACCATCCGGGTGTAGGTGGCACCCGATGTTTTTAGGCCGAAGGCCATCACCACATAGCAGAAGATACCTTCGGGAGTCATGAAGGCTGTTTTTTTAGTATCTTCCTCGTGCATGAAGATTTGGTGATATCCGCGGAAGGCGTCGAGGAATGACATGATTTCGCATCCCGCTGTCTCATCTACTAGTTGATCGATGTTGGGCAGCGGGAAAGGGACCATGCGGCATGCCTTATTCAGATCTGTGTAGTCCATGCACATGCAGAAGGTGGGTGGCTTTTGTGCCATGACTAGATTAGCTAGCCATGAAGGGTATTTCACCTCCCTTATGTGTTTGATGGAGAGGAGCATGGCGACCTCTTTCTTCACAAAATCCCTCCTTTCGGCCGAGAGGGGCCTTCTTCTTTGTTGCACGGGTTTGGAGGAAGGGTCCACCGATAGGCGGTGAGTGATTACCCTTCGGCTGATTCCTGGCATATCCTCCGACGCCCATGCAAAAACAACGGAGTAGGCGCAGAGGGAATCGATGATGCTGGTCTTCAAATCTTCAGGGAGCTTGGCTCCTATCTTCACGACTCTCTCCAGCTTGGCCGGATCAGCGCAAAGTCTTCTACCTCTTCGGCTGGTTCTGCCCTCAGCCTCTTCTCGTCTTCCTCCACAGTCCCGGTGATGGTGTCTACTCAGAACTCAGCCTTACTGACCTTCTTTGTTATTTGGAGGTAGTAGTTCCGAGCGAGTTTCTAATTCCCCCTTGAGTACCCAATGCCCTCTTCGGCAGGGAATTTGAGGCATAGGTGCCTCATGGAGATGACAACCTCCAGGTCTTCGAGGGCGGGATGGCCGAGGATGATGTTGTGGGCGCAGTCGATGTTGACGATGACAAACTCCACCTCAAGATTGGCTCTATGGAGCTTGTCTCCGAATAGCACAGGGAGGGTTATTACCCCCTCGAAATTAATTGTATCTCTGGTGAAGCCGGACAGAGGGGTCCGGATGGGCCGAAGGGACTCCCTCTCTAGAAGCAGCTCCTTGAATGTGTTAAGGTACATTGCGTTGACGGAGCTGACCGTGTCAACGTAAGTTCTGTGGACGATGGTATTGTTGATCTCACTTTGGATGACCAGTGCGTCCCTGTGAGGAGAGGAAGCCGGGGGGAGATCGGCGTCGGTGAATATGATGGGCTCCTCCCTCAACCGCTTCACGGGGGCATATGAGTGACTTCCCCTACATAAAAGGATGGTGCCCATTTGTTTCTTTGGCTCGTGGAGTCTCCCCCCGTGTTGCCGCTGGTGATCATGTGGATATGGCGCTTCTTCTCCTGGTACTGGTGGTACTCTTCCTCCTCATCGAGGTTCCCAATCTCACGCTTCTTCCCCTGCGGATTTCCCAAAGGGATGGTGTTTGGGTTAACCCACTTATTGGCCTTCGGCTGGGGCCCTTCGTGATGAGGAGTCCCCTGAGGAGGAGGGCCCCTGATGAACTGAGACAGATGGCCCGCCTGTATCAATCTCTCAATGGCTGCCTTCAGCTGATGACAGTCGTCGGTTCTATGCTCATGGTTACGATGGAAGCGACATTATGGTTCATTGGGGTTGACGACATATACTTCTAGGGGTGTGCGGGAGTCGCGCTCCACGAGGCCCCTCTCCTCGGTGTAATCTAGGATGACGCTGATGGGTTGCGTGAGGGGAGTCTGAGGGTGCTCCAGGAGGATGGGCTGTGCCCAAGCCTTCAGGTTACTCTTGTAACCTCCCCCCGGGCTTGGCTTGGCCGTGCCGGGGGCGATACCCAGAGGGCGTCTGTCCCTTGGATTGATGAAATGGAGCCCCCGGCCCCCGGTTGTTCCTGTCATCCTGCCTGGGGCGTTGTTGTTCAGGGTTTCGATGGGACCTCTCCACCTCCTCGGCCTCCGCATATCGGTCTCCCCGCTGGAGGGCCTTTATATAGTCACGTGGAGGCTCGATAATAAGGCTCCTGGAGAAGTTGCTGGTACGGAGGACCGTCTGCAGGAGAGCCATAAGGGTCCTATCGTCAGCGCCCTCGACTTTGTCCGTCTCTAGCCTCCAGCGCTCAAGGAAATTCCGAAAGGGTCTCCTCCTTCTGTTGCCTTACTGTAAATAGGTGGGAGAAGTGCTTCTTGGACCGGTGTCGTCCTGCAAATTGTGTCAAGAAAGGCTGAGCGAGTTCTTGCCACGAATCGATGCTGCCATTGGGCAATCGGTTGAACCATTCGTATGCCGGTCCCTCCAAGGTGGAAAGGTACCAACAACACAAATATTCATCCGATGCCCCCATCACCATCATGCTATTTTGGTATCTGCCGTAGTGCTCCTGAGGGTCAGGCTTCCCTTCATAGGGCTTGATGGGCTGCCCTCGGTATTTTCCCGGAATCTGGGCCGCCAACACCCTTGGGGTGAATGACGTCCTAGTCCGGAGTTGGATGATGGGTTCCCCGGAGCCCTCGGCATATTTTCTTTGCATTTCCTCTATTTTGGCCAGCATGGTGGTGTATTTGGGGTCCGCCTGCGAGGTGGAAGCGGTTGCATGTGCTTGGCGGGCCTCCATTTCGTCAATGCGGCGTTGGAGGACCTCAATAATTTCATCCCTGTGATCCCTCGGGAGGGCCTCCGTCCCCTGCGATTGAACACGGGCCGAGTGGGCCTGGTTGATTTGGTGTCTGGCGTCATCGGCATGTAGTGGTGCCTTTCCTTTGTCTTGAGGGGGACGCCTCTCGTCTGCCCTCGATACCGACCCCCGCTATCTTGAGGTCTTTGGAGTGCCTTACCACCGAGGCGGTCTTGGACCCCTCGACGATCCTGCACCCTCCGAGCCTCTCGAGAGTGGAGGTCCGATGCCTCTCTTTGTTCGCACCGCGCTGGTCCCGTGATTGGACTTCCTGGGATGCGGTGTCTTGGGCCATGACCCCTTCGGCGTTCCCTAGCCAGAGGATAGGGTTCACGAAGGGGGACAGGGGAGGGGGAGGAATGGCGTTCTCCCCGACATGCGGCTGAAGTGGTACCAGCGTGCCGAAGGCACCTGGATTCTGGGTGAGTGTTTGGACGAAGGCGGAAAATGCCGACTGTACGTCAATAGTGAGAACCGGAGGGCTCACTTGATTTTCGCTCCGGTCCCTCCTTCGGGTTTCGATGCCAAGGCGGGCATCAGGAGCGTTTTGCTGGAGCTGAAGGCGCAAGTCAACAACAACATGTTCCAACCCAGCGATGACTCCGCCCTCGGGAGCCTTGTTGGAGGCTCCGGGGGCGTCGACTTCGCCGAGGGCCAGGTTGATGTTCTCAAGGGTCTTGGACTGCACATGATTGGTTCTTCCCATTTTGGTAGGTGTTTTGGGCTGAAGGGGAGGGTTTCTTACTTTATTGTTCGACCTCTCAACGAGAGCACCAAATGATGGATAGCGTACCCGAGGGGTAGCTTATCCGATGGGTTATTGCGGGAATAACTAGAGAGAAGTCAGAGCAAATAAGTAAGAGAGAGAGTGTATATTCGATATGATATTTTTGCGTGCTTTACATTGGGGAAAGGGGCTGCTATTTATAGTAGTAATAAATGCTAGATAAGGACATGTGTCAAGCATCCGACGACCGAGGGTCACCTCAATCGGGGTGGCACCGACACTTGCATGTGGCCACATTAAATGCGGTGGTTGGATGCGACGTTGTACTTGGTACGGCGATTCAGGAGCATGTGGAGAGGAGATCCTGTCAAGGAGGACGCCTTCGGTTGAAGGGTGTTGGGCCGAAGGCTCTTCTAACCGGGGGCTTCCTGTGCTGAGAGTTGTATATGCCGAAGGCTTGGTTTTCAAGCCTTGTTCTCCTGTAATGTTTCTGAGCTCGAATCTGTCAATGGTAGCCTTCGGTCACGGGGCCGAAGGCACCCCCTTGCGTCTTGTGGGCTGCTTAGAGCTTCATTCTGGTGGGCTTGGCCCGTTTGGACCTGTTGGGCCTGATTGCAGTATTGGAAGTACGTGGGCCGGGGGTCCCCGGGCCATATACTCCATCACCATTTTACAAAATACTCTATATTTACGTATTTATATAAATATATAACTTAATTAAGAGTAAATTCCCTAAATATGAGTAAAAAAGTTTTGTAATTCCAAAATAGGAGTATCATGTTTTTTATTCCCTAAATAAGAGTAAATTTCTGCCAAGTTTGGCATTACTAGGCTTTTAAGCAGGGTTAAATGCACAAAACCCCCTCGTGAAATATAAATTCGATGCATTAGCCCCCTGTGATTTAAAAAATGCGTCAAACTCCCTTGTGTTTTAATTAATCATGCGCAAAATCCCATTCAAGAACAAATTTTACAATTTTGAAATCACTTTTTTTAATAATATGGTTGAATATGCAAGTAACTTTGTCAAAATTTCTAAATTATACAAGAAAAACTAATCGTTTTTCATCTTTTTTGAAATTAAATTTGTTCTTGAAAGGAGTTTGGCGTGATTAATGATAACACAGGGGATTTGACGCATTTTTTAAATCACAGGAGGCTAATGCGCTGAATTTACATTTCACGAGGGAGTTTGATGCATCCCTTTTAAACATGACATTTTTTTCCAAACTTGACAGATTACTCCTATTTAAGAAATAAAATATAAAATACTCTATTTTGTAATTTAAAAAAGTTTTTACTCCTATTCCTATCTAGACACGCGCGAGCTCTCCTGCTTGCTGGAGTTGCTGCGGTTCATTTGATTCCTCCGACTTGTCCGGCAGTCTCTACGACTTGAGTTAGACGACGATGGAAACAAATAGCCAGTAAGATTATCAGATACCTTTGGGCTTTGTTTTCAATTAAAAGCATAAATCTATTTTTTTTCTGGGCCTGCGGACGGTTGTTGACTGGCAAAAAAGGCGACGGCTTGTCGCAATATCGCGCCTAGGCGACGCCTGGAGGACGCCTATCGCTACTATTCTTCTTCTGGCGAGGCGAGTGAAGACGGCGAGAACTCCCCACTGAAGTAATTTTTAATTTTTAACTGAATGGTTTTTATTAGTTTATGTTGCTTCAGAATGTGTTGCTTCACATTATTAGTTTATGTTGAAATTCAACCCTATAAGTGTAGGCTTTTAAAGTAATGTCATCTATACTTCTAAATTAGAAGTGTTCATATGGAAATCTCTTCATTTATTGAGGGGTAGGTTAAGGAGGACCCTTGTGGAGTTTAAATTATGCACTTAGAAGATGTGGGAATTATGCACTAGCTTTAGCAGCATAACCATTAAAAAGGTTAGCATGTCATTATGGGTGGATATGATCCGCATTCCAATCTGTCGTTCTTTGGAAAAAATATGGAGGCATGTGACCTGGAACTCGATTTCGGGTTCCAGACGGGTCTGTGTACCGTGTTTTTTTTATATACTTTTAAACCCTCTATCCCCTTCCCTGCCCTTTTAAGCTTTTTAAATGAACCCTCCACCCTTATAAAATGTTTTTCAATGATTTCAATAAATAAAATAATGGACCGGACAGGGACCTCTTTCCCAACGATCCAGGCCCGGAACTTTAATTTTTGGTACCCACCTTGGTTACAAAACTGGATGGTCCTGGAACCGGGTTGTGTCTACCCCTACATTGCTACATGTGATGCACACCATTTCCTTTAAAGATATTACTCCCTCCGTTCCTAAATAAACTTCCAACTTTCCTTTTTCATCCGTTCCAATTAAAACTTCCACTTTCCCTTTTTAGTAAAGAATTTGTGGTTCACAACATTTCTTACACATTTCTCTCTCCTCTGCACAACTCTCCACCACACAATACCCACTATCTTAAACTCTGTGCCAAACCTATTTGGAAGTTTTAATAGGAACGGAGGTAGTATAATCTTGTGCTAATCAAGCTATCCAAGAAAAACTAATGTTATTGTGCCAAATGATGTACAATAATACAAACCACGCACATGGATCAAATTCCAGCACTATGCACGTTTGTTTATACCATTCTGTATTGCTTCCAATTAGGTAATTTTTCTATAAAATTCCTTAGGGACAAATTTACAATCTATACTGGGAACAAATTTACAATCTATACTAATCCGTAACTCCGTAAGGTACAATTTTTGTTACATGGATTTACTGATTTATTTTCGACTTATATTTGACCTCATTATTAGTCCTTTCAATATAGTTATTTATAAATTATGTTATGTTACTAACTATGTTTTTTACATTCGATTTTTTTTTTCAACTTCTAACAAGGTCATGTAACATCATAACAGGATATGCAGTCATGCAAATAAGTAAATTCGCCATATACTTTCAAGCATAAGTTGCATGACTAAATATATATTCGAATTTTAATTAGCTTATATCCCGTGCAATTCACGGGTTAAAGACTAGTTGGTAATAAACTAATAATAGGAGTGGAAATTGTTTTTACACAGGTGATTCAAGATCTGCATTTGCGACTAGCGGATTTTTGATATCTATTCCAGCAGAAAAAAAGTGAATGGAGTGGGTGCTGATCATTGTTTTGTTGACTGTTATTTGGGTTGGTTCTCTTTGCACAACACTTCATGAATTTGTGTCTGACTCCAAGTCTATGTTTTTAGATGATGGTAAGATGGAAGCAGCTCTAAAACTATGTTTGGATTTGTATGAGGTTCTTTATAATTGTGATGTGGTTTTCTTTTTTCTTCTGTTGATTATTCAGGTGGATTTTTAATGAAGAAAAAAATCTTGTTGGTTATCGCACATCCTGATGATGAATCTATGTAACGTTAATTATAGAAGTTCTCTCTTTCTTGAGATCATCATATGCTATACTCACCCAAAGACCACCTCAGATATTTACTCAGGATTAACACTTTTCCCACCTGAGAGAAAAAAATGCACGCACCAAGATACACCCTAAAAACTGAATTTCTCCGCCTTTGAGGATAGCCAGAAACAACCATTACATCTTCAGTTTTCCGAAGTTACATATAATGGCAGAAAGTTAACTGACACCAACTTTCTTGCTCAAGTTTATATAATGTGTGCGATTCATTTGTTTTGGAATTTGGATCTTTAATTTTTCAGGTTCTTTACTCCAACCATCAATTACTTAATGTCAAAAGGGCACGATTTGCGAATTTTATGCATATCAACAGGTTAGATGCTATCACATTTAATAACCTTTGCTATGTATGCTAACTGGTTAATAGTTAGATAGATGCGCTATTCGGACTCACTAGAATTTCACCTAGCATTTTTTCATGGACATTGTTTAATAATTAAATAAGTGCTATTGTTTTGCATGAGTTGACAATATGAGATATAACCACAATGACATCAAAAGGTGGTTGTAACTTGTTCGAAACTGCATTTCCAGTTTTTTACTTCTTTCAAATTCAGTCATATACATGCTTTCAGTAACTGTTTTCTCTCCATAAAGTTAATGTCAAAACTTTCGTAGCATTGACGTGAGATTTGTGATCTAGTTGCTAGACAAGGTTGGTGTTCATCCCAGTAGTCCTTGAATTAGGTTGTTTATCCATTTCTATGCTACACTTATATGCCATATGCGTTTTTACTTTCCAAAATGATATAGAGGAACATGTGTGATCTTATTTAGTTTTATATTTTGTGAGAAGACCATTTCTTTTACATGAAATGAGTCAGAACATTTTGCTGCAGTAAAAATGGAAGAAAACCTATCTTTTGGTATTGGTGTGTAATGGAGGTTTATGCTGGTGTGTAGGCAATGCTGATGGCTTGGGAAATACAAGAAAACAAGAGCTCTACTGGGCTGCCACAACCCTTAATGTAATAAGAAATTCAACACGTATGCATTCAGACTGTTTAGTTCTGCCTCTCGGATATTTAAGAACTTATCTTAAGTTTACTGGGCATCATTAGTGCTTTAAGGTTAAAGTTCTATCAATACCTATACCTACAGTATGCTTGGGGGCATTTGGAGAGTTTTGTCTATGTCTTGATAAATAGAATGTTCTTGAAAGAATGGTTATTTGAATGTTATACAAGGTATCTTTAATTTTCTTAAAGCCCAATATTATATTAAGGTATAGGCTAGGCCATGCAAATCCTTCATCCAAGCCGACCCAAGGTGCACCATAGGTAGACCGGTAATAGCACATGATGGTAATGTAATAAATTACTCATTTTAGTGATAATTTACATTACACATTTCATTTGATTCATTACTTTAAATTTCATAGCGTATTACTAAACAACACCTAAGGGCACCAATGATGCTGAGTAATCTTTGGAAAAAAACGAATAAAATGTAGAGGCTTAACTAGTATCACTCTTTGTTTGGCCTTATTTCATGCTTGTACCTCGTCTGTGTTGTATGTTACCATAATTAAGGGTGTTTGTAGTAGGATTCTGAAGAATTGAAGATATACCTTTGCACATTTTATTGATCAGTTCTACCTTAACTCAGGTATCGCCGCAACAAGTAAAGATCTTGGATCATCCAGATTTGGAGGTCTGTTCTTCAAAATTTGAAACCTCTTAGCATTATTTCGACAGTCCTCTGAGAGTTATTCATTGTGATGCTTTAGGATGGTTTTGGCAAAATCTGGAACACAGATCTGTTGGCAAGACTTATGAAAGAAGAAGTAGACAGCCATTCTGTTGATGTGGTTAGTAAATTTAAAGGGGAATTAGCCTTTAGAGCTTCAAACCAATTCCAAGCATAAAGTTGATGGTAAATTTAGATAGCAGCACATCTTCTATTCACAAATTATAGATTTCTTTTGCAATTTTGATATTCACTAATGTAGAAGGGAAAACTGCAAAATACGCTTTCGTAGTATATCCAAAAAGTCAATTAAATCCTCCAACTCAATATTCACCCAATCAAATCCATAAACTTTAAAAAAATCTCAAAACAGAGATCTAATAGGTGATCTACTTTTATTAGCTTTTTAATAACTGTTAGCTTTTAGTGACTGAAAAGATCTTAAAAAGAAATGGTGGTAGCTGGTTGGTGAAAAGCTGACTGTTTGATTTAGTTCGGTTTGGTATACAAGCTGTTAGGACTAATTAATACTAAAAGTCACGGGCTTTTTTCAGATGCTACTCTCTCTAGCATCTCAAAAAAGATCTTTTAATTTTTGAGAAGCTCTTAATAATTGTCATGCCAAACATATAACTAGAAGCTTTTAGAGACTTTTTAAACAATATAAAAGCTAGAAGGCAGAGTCTTATGCCTGCCAAACATAGCCAAAGCCTCCTCCCCTCTACCGTCTTTTACTCTAAATCTCCCAAAGTCTCCTACTGTCTTCTACCATCTTCAATTCTTCATTGTTTTTTTACTAAGCATTTCAGTTTAAATTTTCGATTCCGGTTGAAAACTTGTGATCTGTTTATGCAAATTGGAAGTCACTAATGCGGCCTAGAAGATTTAGGGATGAGCATATGAGATGAGGTGGGGACGGTAGTGAGACTTCAGTTCCAAATGCAACGGTGGTGATTAGGGTGTCTGTGGTTAATAAGTGGCATGTGACCATTTTGCTATATATCCAAGCAAATGCATCTGTGCAAATGTGATAGAGAGCCGGAAGAGCATGGGGCGGGACCGGGCTTGGGCCCACTTCCATGGGCCGGGTTAGGGCTGTCCTTATAGTTTAATTATTATTATTAAGTTAATGTTATGTTTTGGTTTGGGCCTTTTATTAGTAGAGTACTTAGTAGAGTTAGAGTGGGCCTAATTAGGATTTAATTAATTTGGGCTTGATTAGGGTTGCTTGTAGAAGGCTATTTATACCGCTCGCCGGGGTTCAATATTATTATCTTGGAATAAAATTGGAGTTAAACCGTTGCCCAGTTTATTAAATCGCAATGAAAAAGTTCATTTCTTGATCAATGAAAATCAACGGGGTAAATCGTTGAGATAATCAACGATAAAAATACCGTTGCCTAGAGCCAAAAGGCTAAACTCCAATTTTATTCCAAGATAATAATATTGAACCCTGGCGAGGGGTATAAATAGCCTTCTACAAGCAACCCTAATCGAGCCCAAATTAATTAAATCCTAATTAGGCCCACTCTAACTCTACTAAGTACTCTACTAATAAAAGGCCCAAACCAAAACATAACATTAACTTAATAATAATAAAACTATAACGACAACCCTAACCCGGCCCACGGAAGTGGGCCCAAGCCCGGTCCCACCCCATGCTCTTCCGGCTCTCTATCAAAATGGAAGAACCTACAACGAGAAGTTGATTGTTGGGGACACAATATCCCTAATATTGGTCTTGAAAAGTGCCTTGAGAATGTCAAGGCTGGCAATCTTGGCATCCTATAGCGGACTTGTAGTTGTGCAACTTGTGTTATCTTCTGTGCCTGTATTTACTCCCACATATAGCTGGTGAAAGTCTACTTGAACCCTTGAGTTATGCAAAAGATGGAAACTTTGTAAACTAACAGGAGGGGGGTGGAAATTAGCGACTACAACTGGGAGAAGGACTTCTAGAGGCTAGCAATGGGATAGATGGGTAAAATTAGCGCCTCGGTAAATCAATGAAAACGCCTTGCGCCGCCTCACGCCTTTTAAAACTAAGGATGGGAGGACTTATTAGGTAGGCAAAAAAGGAGCGTATTTAGAATAGGCTACACATATTCTATTCTACTTTCCTTTTGAGAAGTTGCTTATCCAGGCATGGTGGTAAGGGAATGGGTTAAAAAAGTGTTCTGGTTTTTAGTTTAGTAACCTGAGTGAAAAAGTGTTGTTTTTAGATCCTTTTGGCTTGGCAGTAGAATAGTAGTAAACATGAAATTCATGATAAGTGTAAAAAGAGGGGCGAGTGAGCAGCCACATCAGCAGAGTAACCTGAAAACCAGTAGATGAAAGCCAAATTCATACTATTTGGACTGTTTTAATAAGTTTATGGGTTTGATTGATTGTTTTTTGGGTATGAGGGTCTATTTGATACTTTTCCCAATGAAGGATGAGCTTATTACAAAGTTTAAGAAGAATTTCTCCATTTGTCCGTAAATTATCTTTGGACTTCATATTTTTGTTGGTCAAAAATAGGATTATCATGTTTTTACTCCTATTTTTTTACAAAATGTTTGTAAATTCTAGAATAGGACTATCATGTTTTTATTCCCAAAATAGTACTAATTACTGCCATGTTTTGGCAGTACCAGACTCTAAACATGGCAGTATTTTCCAAACTTGACAGTAATTACTCCTAATTTGGGAATAAAAACATGACAGTCCTATTTTGGAATTTTCAAACTTTTTTACTCCTATTTCAAGAATTTTCCCTAATTCTTAAACGCGCATGTTTACTTTCATCAATCTCTTGTTGTCCAATCAAAATGTGTAATATTATTGAGATGAATTGTTTCAAAGTTGTGTGACAGTCACTTTTTATGTTTCAAGTACAACATTGTTTTTAGTGAAACTTTTTTCATTACAAACTTTTCACATGTTTACTCCTTTTGAATTTTGATAGATCTTTTCTCTTAATTGATTGTATGACCATTTTGTCATGCACAGGTAATTAGTTTTGACAAATATGGCGTTTCTGGTCATTGTAATCATTGTGATTTGAATCGAGGTGTGCGGTGAGTTGATCCAATCTGTCATGGAATATTGTTTTAAAGCCATTTTCATTACACTACTTACTTAGTAACACTACTTAACAGAGCATTCATGATACATGTTCAAATGCTTTTTAAGTACTGGTGTCACGATCTTATTTTATGTGTACTATGTGTTTTTTCTCGCTAACTACATTAGTACTAATGTTTTTCGCTTTGCACATGGCAGAAAACTAATCCAGGACGTCTCATACAAAAATGTGGAAGCGTGGGAGCTTGTAAGTTCTCCAAATGCATAGATGTTGTTAATTCATATCACAAGGGGTAAGGATGATATCACTTTTGCACTTGTGGCTATATACTTCTCATGATTCTATACTAAGTTTTACAGGTGAGCACTAATATATTCCGCAAATACATTGGACCAGTGGATGTTTGGTTTTCTCTCTTGTATGTCAAGTTTCATCGCAATGAAAATGTTCATTTCTTGATCAATGAAAACCCTAGTAGAAGCTATGCTGCAATGGCCCAACACCTGAGCCAATGGGTTTGGTATGTAATGTTGCAAAAAATCGAGTGCGATTTGGGTGGATTATATTCAAAGGGGTATAATTGTATTGCAGAGGAAGAAAAGCATTTCCACTTTAAAATAAATTGTGGCAGGAAAATGTAAAATGCTTTTGATAGTAAAAAACACTTCTAATGGCCATCTAGGAAAACATTTGTTTGGTGCTTTTGTGAAAAAGTAGCATTGTTAAATGAGAAAGCACATATGGATAAAAATGTAAAGAATTTCGCTCTCGCTTTCAGGTTTCGTAAGCTGTTTGTATCCTTCTCCAGCTATACGTATGGCAACTCTCTAAAGAAGATTAACATCTAAACAATGCCTTCAAAATGTCTTCCTTGTATTGCAGAGACATGATCTTAAGGTACCCAATTACCCAAAACTACACGTGTATCTTCCCTTATCTTACTCCTATTTTAGCATCCATTTTTTTGAGGTTTCTGTGCTAGGAATTACATTTATTTTGGTATTCAATGCCTGGTATTTGTAAGGTTCAGTTCTGTGGCGTATCTGCAATCGTTTGTATATAATTTGTTGCGTTCTCTTAGGCAATTAAAAGCCTTTCTGGATGATGTTATGCAAATGTCGATGCATGGTTATCATGGTGATGACGCGTAGACGTCTGTACAGTGGAGAGCACTCGCCATGGTCGTTCGCCTCGTCTGAAGAGTGCTAGGATTGAATGATGTTGCGTGGATGTTAAATAGGTGTTCATAGCTATGTCCATAATTGATTTTTCACAAAATCCTTTTGATTTAACTCCCCAGCCTGTTTTCTTCTATTTTAAGTAGCAGCATCAGACTTGAAAAAGAAAAAATCTAAATGGAGTAAAGAGAAAAAGAACTTGAGATAAACTGCCGCCCACCAAGTTTGCCTCTGTTTCTTCATTTTCTTCTTGGTTTCTTCTCTCATTATACTATCTTGATATACTTCGTATGTATTTGTAGCTAAGTTGTTTCTTTATGATTTTCTCTCTCATTTCTGTAGATAGCAACCACATGAATCACTTTAATGTTTTTTGCTAAAGTTTCTAGAGTTTCATTTATTGGAAATATATACTTAGTATGAAAATCATGATTTTAATTAAAACGATAAACAAGTAGTCATTATTATATTTTAGATGGAGTATTGTTATAATTTATTATAGATGACAAGGCTGTCTGCCAGCACCACGTCGCACATAACCGCCCTGACATCTTTATTTTCATGTGAAAAGAAGTTATTTTTTAAAGCAGTATTTTTTTTTGTTAAAAATTACGGAGCATGTTATATGTATAAAACATTTTCCATGATTAAACAGCGCCTAAATCTGTTTTGTATGAAAGATGTGTATGCATTACATTGCTTAACATCTGTTCATCCTCTTCCTCTCCGGAAGAAGGATGGAAAGCTGAATGATGAGACCAAACACTGAAATAGGGGTTGTCCAGTGAATTTGAAATTAGAGGTGCTGCTGAAATTGCTACTGCTTGCGTTTACTAGCAGATTGTTTGAAGCATTGGAATATGTTGGCTGCTGCTGATCGGAAGTCTGAAATGCAGCAGCAGTGATCATTGCAAAATTTCTGTTCGTTAGCTGCGTTTGCACCATTGCAAGCTCTTCTTGTTGTGATGCCACCTGCAAGCACCCATAAACAGGTGGTGGTGGTGACTAACACTCCTACAATAGTTTAATACTTTAATGATTAGGCTCAACTTCTGTTGCTCTTTGTTTATGCTTAAAATTTCTACAATCTGTGACTCTGTGAGTGCAATGATTTTAGATTCAAACCCCGTCCCGAATTTAAAAATGTGAGTCTTTTCTGGCTTAGCCACTCCAAAAGATCTGTTTTTATTTGTCATGTATCGACACAGGTTTCTTTAGGGGTGAGCACGGTTCGGGTCGGTCCGGGTAATTAATATTTCTTCAAGAACCGCCGGTTCCATGTAAGGGTAGGTTTGGTCTGAGTATACCAAATCTCGAAATACAAACTGGACCTTACCTGCCCCGTTTGAAACGGGCCGGTTCGGTTCGAGTTCTCGGTTGTAAAAAGTCGGCTATGCGAGCAAAGTTTCTAGTAAGTTATAAAATTCTCAAACTAATTAAGTATTCATGTAACCATAATATAGTAAAAATTCCAAATAAAAATACGGAGTATAAAATAACATTTTGAATTGGTTAACAAAATATCTCACGACAAATCTATAATTTGAACAACACACAACCACCTAAATTAAAATTTTAATCATTATTCATAAATTAAAGAGAACTATAAACCACAAAAAATTAAACTAGTTACTATACATGTTGTCCATGAAAATAATTTAAAGCTTATTAAATATTAAAATATAAGTACGCGTAAGATAATAAAATGAATATGTCACACTTCATTTAATAAGACTATTTACAAAAAAATATTAAAAATAAGGTTGATGCATTTGGAATAGAGAGTTGAGGAAATTAATTTAGAAGTTTAGATGGACTTTCTCATGGACTTAGAAATTCTTTAATAGGCTTTCAATTTTCTTAATTGAAAGTCTTTGTCTAGACATAAGATTATAAAAACATGAAGAGCTTCCGTGTGTTGTTAGTATATTACATTAAATATAATGGAATTTACTAAAATAATAGTTTAAAACGGTTCGGTCTGGCCCGTCTGGGTACCTATTTTTTTCAAATTTTAAGACTCATTCGGTCCTTAAGTTTTTAAGGACCCGCTCCACCCCGAACCGTTTGGGTTTTCTGGAATTAGGACTCGACAATAACCTACCTTGAACATGTATTAGTAATATAAATGACTAATAATGCAACGTAATTAACTATCTTGAGTAACGTGAAGGCTTGTTTTTTGTTGAGGATGCATCACACGTAGGGTTGGACCGAACCGGGCCAAACCGGCCCGTGAACCGGACAGGCCCGCTACTGTGCGGGCCCAGACCGGACTGGGACCGGATGGCCGGTTCCGGGCTTTTAGCCCGTGTTGGCGGGCCTGGCAGGCCGAGCTCGGGCCCCATTTTTGTTGAACCGCCCGGGGCGGTTCGGGTCGGGCCCGGTTCATTTTTTTTTGTTTTTTCCATTTTTTTTCTTTTCCTTGGCTAGGGCTGGGTGTTTTGAGGAGGTTTGAGGGGTGAGGGGGGGGGGGGGGGATTAATTAGAAAGCAAAAAAAAAAATTAATAGATCCGAGCCCGGCCTGGCCCGGTTTGGCCCAAACCCGGTATAAACCCGGGCCGGTTTCGGGCCCAACAATCTGCAAAAAAAGCCTGCCCGGGCCCGCCCCGGCCCGGGTCCATCTCTAATCACACGTGCATGGAACAGTGACCATGAAATTGAAGTGTTGGACTATTACAATAGCATTTTCTCTTTGGATTGTTCCGATTATTATGGATCTATCCATATAAAGGACTTCATGGAGAGTTTAGACTAGGCATGGATTCGGGCTGGGCCTAGGCCCGGTCGGGCCGCCGGTTTGTGAATAGTGGGCCCGAGACCGGCCCGAGGTACATGTGGTTCCAATTCGGGCCGGGCCACCCACCTGGGTCACGGGTCGGGCCACCCGCCGGGCCGGTTAAATCAATTTTTTTATAATTTATATTTTATAGTTTTATACAAGTATTAAAAACAAACTTGAAGTGCATTTATTTGAAATGAAATAGGAACTACATTTGACAACTAAGAAAAAAATACAATATGAAATTACAATTGAGAATTGAATGTAAAATTAAAACATGAAATACTAATCAATCGGAATCTCCGTAATAGGTAGAGCCACCATTGGTTGTAGATTCATCCATAAAGTGTTGAGATGGGGTGATGTCAATTTCTTGAGATCTACGGGTCGCCTTCAACCAATCATGGTAGCCTATAAGCATCTCAAGAGATTCTGCGCTCAACCTCGTTCTACATTGCGTTAGGACATTGCCGGCCGAACTAAATTCTTGTTCCATGGCAACTGTTGAAACCGGCATTGATAGCACTTGCTTAGCCATCTTTGTCTAAACCGGGAACATTCTTTCTTTTCCCTTCCACCAGTTTAGAACGTCAAAGTCATCATCTTCTTCAAAATCAACATCATATGTTAAATACAAAGAAATCTCATTAATTGTGCTTTGTTGAGTAGCGGGTGTTGTTTTAGTTTTTTTAATAAGATTGGCAAATGTAGATTTCAAAATTGATTTTCCTTTAGATGAAGAGGTTTGTGTCGGGGGAGGGGGCCGCGTTGCCATATTGTGCATGAAACTCATTAAATAATGCATAACATATATCACTAACCTCGTTGTATTTTTTTCGGATCAATTGAGTTCTCGTCATACATTGGCATTGGACCAAAAAAAGCATCATAATAATAATTCAAACATTCTTCTAAAGAACCAAGTCTAAAACGAGGATCGAGAACAAATGCAATACTATAAATATGCGGAATATGTGAATAATATTTTAAAAACTTTTTCTTCATAAAACCAGCAAAAAAACTCACATAATCGGCATTTCAAAATTTGAAAAAGCACCGGCGAGATTAACAGCTTCACGAATAAATTGGTTTGAGGTAGGTTTATAAACATGACTAAAAGTTTCAGTTGCATTATTAAAATATACCAAAGCATTACAATTTTTTTCCGCAGGTGTCGATCTCAGCCGAGTTTAAAATATAGTTATCATATTGTTTCATAAAAGCAGGAAAATGTTGTTTATATCTAAGAAGAACTGCAATTAACTTATAAGTACTATTCCAACGAATAGACAAATATTTAGGAAAAGTCACATATTTCTAACCTCTTTCTATCAAATAATCATGCCATTTTTTTCTAAGTTGACCATTACCCCAAATACGTCTAATCCTCCCATTGACTTCATCCAAAGATGCTCCTAACGCTTTTAAACCATCTTGCACACATAAATTTATAACATGACATGCACATCGTTGATGAAAAAATCTACTCATCAAAGAAGTAGAACCACACAATTCACGCAATCTAGGAATATATAGCAGCACTATTATTAGTAGCATTATCAAAACCAATAGCAAACACCTTATCAATTAAATTATACTCAATTAAAATACGCTCAATCAAAATATAAATATGTTCAGCGGTGTGATGATCATTAAATTCACGAAAAGCAAGAACATGTTTATGCATATTCCAATCATTATCAATATAATGTACAGTCAGACCCAAATAATGTAAATTATGATAAATATCCTCTCATATGTGAGAACACATAGTAACACGCCCATCAAAGTTTGCAAAATAATTTTGTAACCTTACCTTTTCCGTACCATAAAGCCTAGAAATTTCTTTCTTAACCATTTTGCGACTATAACCTCTATATTGAGGATTTAAACAAGTTTGTGCATAATCACGAAAAGCAAGACTTTCAGAAAACAAATAAGGCAAATTTTCTTCAACAAGTAAGTTAGCTATACCTGTCAAATTTTGTGCATCATCGTATGAGAAATTACCAAAAGATTGTTGGTTATTTGCAAATCTCGATATTTGAGTTTGCTTCCCTGTTCCGCCGCCTAATTTTGCATACTCCACCGAGTGTTTGACCTTAAGATGCCTTGTGGCGGATCTGTATCCACCGGAAATTCCCAAGCTATAATTTTTCTTGCACCACTTGCAAGTTGCATTCCAATTCCCGGTGTTCGGGTCCTTCCACTTATCAAAATTATTTTTTCATTAGTTCAGATCTACTTTTTTTCGTACCTGTTTGGGATGAGGCAGGCTCGTCGGTGTCGTGGCTGCCGCCACCCTCCTCCGCGTCGCCGTCGTGTCTCTCCGGAATTACTTCCTCCACATCGTCGTTCTCGAGCTCTTCTTCATCAATGGTCCTCGACTGGTCTTGGAAAAACCGACTATTATGTCGGTGCAATTCTTGTTCTAGCTGTTCGTCGGTCATGGCATCCCCATCCCTCCTTGCGTAACCTGTATCAAAATCATCTCGGCTTTGAGATGAAGAGCCGATATGTGATTTACCTTTGCGGGATTTCTTCCTCACAAGCTCGTTTGTTCGGTTACGCTCGAGGTTACCCATATCAACCAAATATCTACCACCTTCCATCTTAAAAATGTAACAAATATTAATTTATAAAAACAATTCGAACTAATGAAATAAAATTCTAACAATTCTAACTTTAATGAAATAAAATTCTAACAATTCTAACTAAGTAGATATAAATTGTAATATGTATGTATTTAGTAGATATAAGTAGATAATAAGTAGAGATTAAGTAGATAACAAATATAAGTAATATAATATATGTATTTATAAATAGATAATTAATATATAACTATATAAGTAGATAAGAAATATAAGTAATATAATATATGTATTTCTAAGTAGATAAATAATATAAGTAGATATATAATATATTAGAGAATAAGAGAATTTGAGAAGATGAAGATAATTAGAGAGTAGAGAGTAGGATTTAGGAAGAGTTGGAGAAGACATATGGAAAAATGTTTAAGATTAGGAGTATTTATAGTTTTTTTTACCCCACCCCCACCCCAAACCGCCCGGACCCCCCTGCCAGCCCACCCAACGGCTATATAGCCGTTTGGGTAGTCCCCAGCCCACCCCAACGGCTATTTGTGGCCCAAAAGTCCAAAACCATTTTTTTTAAATTTGTGACCGTTAAACCCGGACCCGAGCCCGACCCGGCCGAGCTGGGTCACCTTTTCCCTGAACCGAGCCCGCCCCGCCCTTCCCCCCCGATTCGGGTCTACACCCGATCCCGGGCCCGCACAGTAGCGGGACGGGCCAGGTCACGGGCCGAGTGGCCCGAACCAAATCCACCCCTATGTATTACCCAGCCCGTCCGCGGTTCCTATACCCATTTGCCCACCCCTAAGTTTCTTGGAAGCCATGGATGGATAAGCTCTA